CCACCCATCTTGGGGTGGCTCGGCCGCCGAGCCACCCTTGGGTGGCTCGGCCACTGAGCCACCCTTGGGTGGCTTGGTTTTGGCTGGGTGTTCGTCGTTGTGTCCGTTGTCCGGTTTTGCGGTTTATCCGAGTTTTATTGTTGATCTGGACTCTGATTTGGTAGTCTGGATCCTGATTTGGCAGTAAATCCGCTTCGTCATTGATCTGAACTCTGATTTGGCAGTCCGAATCCCGATTTGGCAGTAAATCCGCCTTGGAGTTCGAGTTCGAATCCGTTCCACGGTTGGATGACTCGTTGACTCACCCAACCGTTAGCTTGATTCCGCACGTGAGTGGATGTATTCCGTTGTTTGCGTGCGATTCATTAACCTCGTCGCTTTGTTAATCCGCTTTGTCGCGTGTCACTTGGCTTCGATGTGGTGGACTAACGCTCGTGTTTAGATACGTCACCCGATGGTTCGTCGGTTTGTCGAAGCACCGTGCCGAGCTGTACTAAGGGACCTATAAGCAGTTTTATACGCCTACAGATACCCCCTCCAAAGTATTTCAGTCTCGTTCTTTTATAGAAGAGTCTGAAATACTTTGGATATGATTGTCCCAACCTTCAGTCGGTGTAACGGGACCTTGGAATATTTTATAGAAGAGTTCTTATTTGCGACGCGTTGTCCGGCGTAGTGTTGTTGAGTTATCCTTAAGAATATTTTTAGAAAAATATTCTCCAGAAACTTCTCAACCAAAAATAGGGAATAGTTTATACTCGTATACCTTATTGGAGTATTTTTCGTGCCCGAATGAGCTAAACCGGCCTGATAATGAGCTGAACCGGCCTGATAATGACCCAAAAAAGTAGTAATTAGGCTTAAAAAATCTTCCAACCCTTCCGAATGTGTGGGAGAGGAAAGAATAGACAAGGGACTGAACCCTCGGTCGATTTGAAGTCGTTTCGATACTCGATTCAGCTTCAATTTGAATTCTGGTTCAAATCTGGTTCAAACTGGTTCAACCTGGTTCAACCTGGTTCAAGACTAGTTCAACCTGGTTCAAGGTTGGTTCAGGACTGGTTCAAGACTGGTTTAGACTGGTTCATCTTGGTCTGGTCTGGTTCAGTCTGGTTTGGCCTGGTTCAGCCTGGTTTGGCCTGGTTCAGACTGGTCTGGTCTGGTTCAACTTGGTCCGGTCTGGTTCAAGACTGGTTCACTATAAAAAGAGTTCTTTTCCTCTCCTTCTAGGGCCGGCCCCCCCTTGTCCTCTTTTATGCTTTTCTCTTCCCTCGTGCATCTTTTCTCCTCTAAACCTTCATATTTGTCTTAGATCCATCCTTCCTTTTGATCTTAGACTGAAAAATCCCTCAAAAATCTCCATATAAAAATTTCTCTCAGGCCCCTCGAGCACGTGGTTCGAGCCCCTTTTAAGATCTGATTTTTTGTCGGATCCTCGAGCTTTTCCTCAGGTAAATCCTCCATAATTTTGGCATATTTCATGTTTAATTTAGTACATGAATTTGTGGGTTTGCATATGAGGGTTAGGGTTTGTGATTTGATGCCTCGAGCTCATCTTTCAGGGGGTAGAATTTGAAGATCTGAGGGGTTTAACTATAAAAACGAGGAGATAAAATTTTAGGGTTAGAGTTTGTCACCCTAAAAAATTTTCTGTATCTGACCCCCTGATTTACTTTGCAGATCATCATGTCGCATATCCCGTGAGGTCGATCCCCTACTGTGTTGGCTGATGGCATGCTTCCCTCTTATGCTGGTGAGCTCCTTGTTTTGGCGTATTTCGTAATTTATTGATTTAATCCCCATTTTGTTCTCCTTGGTGAGGCAATCAGGAAGAGCATTGATTCTCCTTGGTGAGGATCGACGCTTTAAAGATGGGTTTTGCTTGGTCAAAACCATATCTCAAAATAAATAAAGGGGGCGTTTTGACGCTGCATTGTGCCTTATAAGGCAGGGATATATTTTTTGATATATCCTACCTTATAAGTGCATAATGTGGCCAAATCGTCTCACCCTTTATAAGGCAGTGACTCTATCTTACCAGTTCGTAGGATGAGTTCAACTTCCTTTTATAACTGAGACTAACAAACACTTAATTGCTTGTTTTCAGTGGAATATCCCTCTAGAGCGTTCTCATCTCATGCAGTGTACGGGCGTCGTGGCGAGTATTATTCGACTTCCGACGATTTTTCTCCTATTCCAGTTACTCTCCAGTTTGCTTCGAGCACGTCGACAGAGGTTGCCCAAGTGGTGAAGGAAGGTGGACATCGAGCTCTTCGACAGTTGATTACAGATGCTCCTTTTGTGAAGGATGCCAGCTCTGTTCAGCCTCTCAGGAAGACTGACTTTTTATTTGGCGACTCTGTCAAAGATCCTGATGCAGTGTTTATTGACGCCGGGCAGTGGCTTCATAAAAATAGCAGTTTGGTGGACGGTCTCCGGGCATGGCTGTGGACCGTGATGGGCTGTACTAGTGCTAAGTTCAGTCTCCCGAGTGCTGAGCGACAGTTGAATCTCACCTTCTTAAGCTGCAGGTGGCTGTTAGCAGCTAATAAAACTGTCCCCGTGAAGCCGATTGCAGAGCTAGTGGCCGAGGAAGCTTCTCAGGCTGATTCTCGTGTGATTTAGGAAAATGCTCGGTCACAGAGGACACGAAACAAGACTCGCCGGATTGACGAAGAGGGAAAGAAGATCTTCCATTCTGCTGACGAGGCTTCAGGCGGAGATCTTGAAGATGACGAGCACTGTTCCGAGCGAGGTTAGCTACCTACTCTTCCCTTCTATCTTCCAGAATTATTAATCTTGACAGTTGTTTGATGTTTTAGGGACCGCAACTGACAAGGATGAAGAATTCCGTCCTTTTTCCCAGGCGAGACCTTCGATTGTTGTCCCCGCTGCTAGGCGGAAGAGATTAGCCCACAAGCCGCATGCAGATTCACGAACATCTAAGATGGATTTATCTGGTGGTGATCCTGCTAGCGACGGAGGTAACATCTGCCCTATAGATCATCCTCTTGATCATTCAGAACTTCGACTCATGCTTTTCCATCTCTATGTAGGAGAGCGTGGGGATAGCGAGATGAGTCCTGATCCTGCTCCTCATGATTGTACATTTTCTGGTGAGCCTGACTCACCATATCAGGTAGAAAAGCCTGCAGAAGCTGCCGACGTTAGGGAGACCATCAATGTAGGACCCGATTCAGCGAATTCAGGTACATCTACCATTGACAATGTACTCTTTAGATGGCACACAAAGGAGTTGAACGGTCCAGAATTTGTGCATTCCTTAATTGTCTCTATACTTCTTGTTCTTTTAGACAAATTGCAGGAGACAAACGTGGATCTTGGGAATAGAGAGGCTAACACACCCATAAGAGGTAACTCATTTCCATTGGTCGTAGTCTCTTTATTCTTCTTTTGCACTTATATTCTCTTGTGTTAGATTTCTCGATTGATGATTTTGACGAGGAAGGTTTGCTTGTGGACACTCCTATGCTCCACTTCATGTATGGCTCTCCTCAGATTGATGACCAGATGCCTGAGGATATGTTTCCTGAGTCTACACTCCCTAAGAATCCCGAGGATGGTCCTTCTGAAGGTACGTGCCTCTTCTCAAGTTAATTATAGGACTAGCCAATTTTTGACTAGTGCAACTATAATGTGGTGCATCTGAGAATTCCGTTTTGTGTTTGACAGAAGTTTTTGTCGAGACTGATCCTGTTGAGCCGGCTGTGAGACCAACTACACCAGTTGATACATCCACAGCCGTTACACCTCCACTACCCCAAGTGACTCAAGGGGAAGGAGGTATAAATTAAGCAACTGAGAAATGTCATTTATTTCCTCATTAAGGCTTTTGACGGATTTCTCCTTTTTGTGTAGGGCTT